TTTTTCTATTAAATTTTAACCTTCTTTCAATTTTTTATTTGTATTTTTAAACATCATGATTTCAGGATTTTCCTAAAGCGCCGTTAAAGAATCTCCTCCTTCGTAAAGATTTATTTTAAATTGTGAGATAAATGTAGAGTGATGGGATTTTACGAAAATGTGACACTTTCATGAGGGGGTGTCACTGTTTCTCGATCCGTACATTGGAGTGAAGATGGAGTTTTTTGAAGCACTGAAATATTATCAGTGCCTCAAAAAACTCCATCTTCATTCATAATGTACGAAATTTTCAGCAAATAAGTTATATCGCGGAGAAAGTTTCCTCACTTTCTAGAGGGAATTGTTCTCTCTAAGGTATATATTCTTAATATATACATCAGAGGGAACAATTCCCTCTTTAACATGCCAAAACTTGCGTCTGATTGTTTGCAATCAGACGCAAGTTTTGGCAATTTCTAGTGGGAATAGAGCCTTTTTAGGTACTGATTCATATGTAGTGCCTCAAAAGGCTCTATTCCCACTTTAAAGCAAGGAAACTTTCCCAAAATTTTTTAGAATTTGAGAAAAGTTTCCGAGACTTGATGTGAGGACTACTCGCTCTGAGGCACAAATTCTAGATTTGCACCTCACAGGGAGAATTTCCTCTCAAGGCTCGGAAACTTTCCCAAAATCAAAAACTGGGGAAAGGGCTGTAAGGTCGACTCTGGTACAAATAGGTACCAGAGTATTATATTAAAATGCTCTCACAAGAAGCTCTAAGAAGTTCTTCTCGAATCAGAAGAACTTCTTAGAGCTTCTCGTGAGAACAGTGGAAACCCGTCTCCGGTATATGTTGATACCAGAGTTTTTTATATTTGAAGACTCTGGTACCAATATGTACCGGAGTAGATGAAGAATGTGAGGTGGACCATCATTTTTTGATGGCGGTTTAATTGAAATTTAAAAATAAGATATTATGATAAATATATGATATTTGAGAGATACAAATGTTAAATTAAATATATAATATCTTAGAAATTGAGATATATTTTTTATTTTGAAAATATGAATTTTTTTGATATTTTTATGAGAGAATTGATTTTAAATAAGACAGAGATATTATATATATAATATTTTAAAAAATAATTTTGAGACCCACTCCCCTGTTTTCACACTCAATGTCACTTTTTCGAAAAATGTCGCTGTCTCGATAAATGTATGATGCAGTGCCATTTTTCTCTCTTTTCCCATTTTGTCTGTGGCAGTGTAATCATGCGCAAATAATTTGGGGTCGGGGGTCCAATTCAAAAGTCCATTTGACTTCTGAGTCCCATGCCTCCTTTGATGTGAGTTTCTTATTGTAAAGCTCCTCATATCAAAAATGTTTCTGACACTTTACAGAGAAAAAATGATACTTTACAAAATGTTATTTTTAATATTTTTTTAATTTTTAACTAGTCAATATTGTAATAAACAGAAATTCATCAAAAGTGACAGCTCTCAATTTTTTGACATTTGTAAATTCTAAATTGAATGAGAACAATGAAATAATACTAAGCATAATGTAATGCATGAAAAATAGCGTGACTTCATTTTTGACAGTTTACAAATGTAAAGTGATGCATCCTTAAAAACTTGGAAATATATACATTCATGAATTATCTTGTATATTAATTGAAAATCCATAAAACCCTAACAATATTTTTCTTAAAAAAACTATAAAAATATAAATAAAATTAATCGTTAAATAAAATATTTGATATTAGAATTTTATTGGAAAAATAAAAAACTTAATATTTTAAAGAAATACTTAAATACTTGAATGTTTTAACTTTTACATTATCATATAGACTCTCAAATTATTAGCCATTTTGGCTGAGAACTATGGTCTGCGAGGTACATAGATAGAATCAGTACCTCGCAGACTATAGTTCTCTATATGGCGCCGAAAATTTTTTGGTGAAATGTCGTCGCATTTCACCAAAAATTTTTCGGCGCCATAGGAAGAATTGGAGGGTGTGAGATACTATTACATGCTATAGTATACACACCCTCCAACTCCCAATCAAAATCGCATAAAATTTGCTACTTATCTTCAGATTACCTCCCATTATAAAATATATCATTGCTATCTCATCGTACTATATTTCCACCCTATTGTATTTAAAAATATAAAATTTTTTGATAATATATTTTTATATCTTGAATTTTCAAACAATATATTCACAGAGAATATAATGGGAAATCTATCTCAACCTAGCCTTAAAGTACCAAACTCCTGCTTGCATTCTCACTCACAAATATTAAACATCCATCTCCAAAAAACTAAATTCTTCACAATTTTTTTAAAATTGAGAACATAAAAAACGTATGCATTCAATAATTTAAGATACTAACAAATATTAAAAACTTCAAAATATCAGATATTAACGTTTTTCAATTAAAAAAATATCATTTTGCTTTTCAATTCGACAAATAAATCGTAAATATTTTTAATTAATATCTGATTTACAGCATTATTATCCATTTATAAATCTGACAAATAAATGACAAAAACATCAGAAATAGTGTCACTTTTTGTCAAAAGTGAAGTCACGCTATTTTTCATGCACAACATAATACTAAGCATAATACAATATTCTAGATTTAATTATAATTAGGAAAAGTTAGTTTTGAGAGTACTTTTCATAGGCATATAGAATGAAATCTTCTGAAAAATAATATCACATAAACTCATATTATTTTCTAATATATAACTATTTTATATAAAAATCAAATTCAATGATCTTAAAAGCGAATGATAAACCTCAAAATTTACGAATATAATGAGTGGGAATATAATGCTTATCTATCATAAAACCATATGAAATATCAATTTTTGCTTTACGCCTAATTTTTGACGACAATTAGCAAAAAATGTTAAATGTTAACACTCAGTCCATTTGAATATGAAAAATAAAATTGACTTTGATTAAATGTTTTTATTTATCATGCAATTCTTCTTGCGACCAAAGATTGAATAAAGTTCAAAAAATAAGATAGCTTAAAAAATAATATACGGTAGTGTTTACTAATAGATGAATAGTATATAAATTCTATTAAAATGGATTTGATCCAAAAAAATATACAAAATTTGATCATAAATAAAATCGTTTTAAATTACTTCTTCATTTAAATTATAACAATTATTTTTGGTTTATATTTTTTGGATCAAATCCATTTTAATAGAATTTATATACTATTCATCTATTAGTAAACACTACCGTATATTATTTTTTAAGCTATCTTATTTTTTGAACTTTTATTCAAATCTTTGGTCGCAAGAAGAATTGCATGATAAATAAAAACATTTAATCAAAGTCAATTTTATTTTTCATATTCAAATGGACTGAGTGTTAACATTTAACATTTTTTGCTAATTGTCGTCAAAAATTAGGCGTAAAGCAAAAATTGATATTTCATATGGTTTTATGATAGATAATCATTATATTTCCACTTATTATATTCGTAAATTTTGAGGTTTATCCTTCGCTTTTAAGATCATTGAATTTGATTTTTATATAAAATAGTTATATATTAGAAAATAATATGAGTTTATGTGATATTATTTTTCAGAAGATTTTGTGTTCTTCTTCAAAATTTTATTTTTTATTAAAAAGAATCTTTACAAAATATAAATTTACTTTAATTAATATTTAAAAACGTGCTCTATCAAAAGTTCCAAAAATTCAATATTTTAGCTTTTCTGGGGTGTCACTTTTGATGAATTTCTGTTTACAACAATATATATATTTGATATATTATAAAATAAAAAAATTAATTAAACTATTAAATAATATTATGTCTTCATGGCCTAACAAAAATAAACCTTTGAATTTTTTTATTTTTAATGGAATCTCCAGATGAATATGAACTTCCTGATGGAATTACTGCATCACGAATTAGATTTGTTCACAGAATGTATCAAAATGGAGAATTTAAAACTTTAAATAGTGCCGCTCAATTCCTCCACATAAGAAAAGAAAAATTATCAGAATTATTTAATCATTTTAATTTACCAATAAAAAAGAAAGGAAGGCTAAAAAAGAAATTGATGAAAATATTGCCCTTCAAGTTTTGGCAGAAAAAGCTCAATTTGATGTCGGTTATCATCGTATTAAAAACTCACTTTTCAGAGAAAATAAAAATGTGAGCGATAGAGATATCAAAAAAGTATTTGATGAATATATGTGCTACAAATACAAAAAAGACGATCTAAAAGAGCCGGTTACATTATACAGATATGTTGCTCAATATGCAAATCAACTTTGTCACACGCATCTAAAAATGTTTTATAATGAAGAAAATAGCAAACAATATTTAATTGCATTTTTGGATGATCGCACAAGGTATATAATTTATTGGCAAGTCTTAAATGACAAAACAATGGAATCTACAGCAAACGCCTTAAAAAATGCAATTGAAACCACAAATTTTAAACCACAAAAAGTAATAATGGACAACGGTAAAGAATTTGTGGGAATTCAATTTCAAAACGAACTTTCCGATCATGATGTTGGACAATGGCGAACATTGCCCTATACACTACACCAAAACGGAAAAGTTGAAAGAGTTTGGAATACTCTGTTCAATGCTCGTCAGAAGGTTGTCCCAGTTCTTGAGTAACTTTCATCCTTGATCACATCTTATAATGAGAGGTGGGCACATCGAAGTTTGGAAGAGTTTTACAAAAAGAAACTCACACCAAAGGAGGCATGGGACTCAGAAGTCAAATGGACATTCGAATTGGACCCCGACCCTCTAATTATCTACGAAGAATTTCAAAAAATCATAGATTAACGACATAGTATGAATAAAAACATCATTTATATTGTTATATACGAAAACGATAAAAATGGTTTGACAGAAAAGTGACAACTTTATGTGACAAAAATATAAAAAGTGACATTTTATTCATCATTATCTTCTTCATAATTTATTTCATATTCTTCTTCATATCCACCTTCATATTCTTCACTTTGTCACTCCTTCTCTTTTTTACCATCTTTATTATCGATTTCTTCTTCCTCATCTTGGAGTTCTGGTATTTCTCTAGCCTGTACTGATCCTGGGAGAAAGTCTTGGGTAACTCCATCAACGACCCATTTGGCAGGCATTCCTGGTCTCCAAATGGGCCCCTTCATCCATAATTCATTTGGACTATAATTGATTTTCCTTCCATTGAGAAGACGTGTCGGTAGTGCGGCATGGGGCTTGGAGTTATAGGAATTGACCCAACTCTGAATTTTCTATATTGGGCCACAATCGCTCAATCTTACCGTTTTGGTAAGGGCAATGTGGCACAATATAGACATTTCGAATTCCTTTGCATCTCATCGCTTGTAGGAATTCACCTCTATTCTCTCCTCCATTATCAGACCATATGGTATGAGGGGGACCAAAACGTTTTATGGCCCGCTCAATTACCTTAACGGTCTGATTTGCATGTTTGGAGGAGAGATGCTGCCACTCCAAAACCATTCTGGTACAATCATCTATTACTCCATACAATAATTCACTTCTGCGTTTATTGAGAAAGTGAATGTCAACGTGCCAGATTTGATTTGGAAGTAAAGCCTCGTATCTTGTCCTCCCTTTAGGTCTCTTGGGTCCCCGTGGACGTGTTAATCCAAGAATGATAAAAGCCTTTTCGACCATATGCCTTGATGGAGCCTGAGGTAGAGGGAGAGGAAGATATTTGATATTTTGTAAATTTATAGCATATGGAGTAGGGTTATCATCTTGATTAATGTCAGCGGGGATTTCTTTAGAGATAAGATTGAGAGGCCTGTCACGTCGCACATTCTGAAACCAGTCCTGTGTTGAGCTCATAACTGGAAGCAGGCCATCTTTCATTCGAACAAAATCTTGTTCATGCTCATGGGCGAATGCTATATCTTTATTAAGCCTAAGGTAAGTGGGGATGATACCATGTCGCCCATGTTGTTCGAATAAATTGAGAATGGCCTGCATGAGATCATCAGGAACTGGTTGTTTGGGTCTACCACGGGAAAGTGGAATATCAACAAACTGGTCGTGCGGACGAGATTGAGGATTAGGAGGATTGGCACGTTGACTTGATTGATCGAACTGATGGGATTAGGAGCAAGTTGATTGTATGTACCAGATGATTGGTTTGAAGGAGTGGCTTGAGGATTTAACTGTTGTGCACTACTAAGAGGAGTATAACCATTGCTGGGTCTGAGCTGTTGTTGTGCACTATTAAGAGGAGATGTACCATTGCTGGGTCTGAGCTGTTGTTGTGCACTACTAAGAGGAGATGTACCATTGCTGGGTCTGAGCTGTTGTTGTGCACTACTAAGAGGAGATGTACCATTGCTGGGTCTGAGCTGTTGTTGTGCACTATTAAGAGGAGATGTACCATTGCTGGGTCTGAGCTGTTGTTGTGCACTATTAAGAGAAGATGTACCATAGTTAGTATGGGTTAGTCGTGTACGGCGGCACTGCGCACCTACTTACCCATGATCTGTGAATTTGACACTTTACAAAACCGTTAATGTATATTTTACAACACAAACGACAACACTAACTTAACCTTAAATATTTACAAAGCCGCCAACCACTTCACCTCACTAACGACTTCGCTAACGAACTCACTAATGAAAAAAATAAACGTTCTCATAAATTTTCTTCTATATCTTCATCGTCAATGTTAACTCTATTGTAGTCATACTTGAAGTCATAAAGTTTCTCAAGTTTTGAAATGCATAGTCTTGTTAACTTACCTTCATCATCATAAGTTTTTATAAAACTACCATGACAATCTTTATACACAGTCAATGTATAATCTACTGGTCTAGGATGAAGTGTAAAGAACATGTTATACTCAGGAAGGAAGAATAAATGTTTAAATGTATGTTTGTTATATTTTTCGATTTGTATGAGTTGCTTTTGTTCTGTCATTTATATAAAAATAAAATAAAAAAATAAACTTAAAAATTAATGATATCACCACCCTCACACGTATGAAAACATAGCCCAAAAATAAATTTAGGTGAAGTGGTGAGATCTCACCTCTTTTTTCACCTGTTTTTTCACCCTGTTGAATTCATTGCTTTATAACTCTCTTCCTTGGTTTCTTTTTAGTTGCTTTCTTCACGTCTGTCTCCAACTTGACTGTCTTTCTTCTTCGTCCGTAATGATACCAGTTACTTCCACCAGTCAATGGGTCAAATGGTCGTTCATAAGGGTTTCCATACATTCCATAGGGACCATACGGAAGAACTACTGGTGGAGAAGAAACATTTTCTTTAGTTCCATCGACTCTATTTAAATGCATTGTTTCACCTTTCATCTGGTCATTAAAGTCTTTTGCGTGTTTTGCAAACTCATCGTCCTTTCCTAAAGCATTTTCTGACTCAGTCGCAACCAAATTGGATGCTTTATTTATGAGCCCTATTTTATTTAATCTTAACTTCTTTGCAACCCAGCCTCCAATCTTCCCTTTATTTGCATCTAATGTCTTCGAAACCCTTCCTCCACTCATTTTATTTACTGCGTCATAAGCTCCAAGTGCTTTTGCTCCAAATGCTAATGCTTTTGTTCCCATTGCGCCTAAAGCTGCCCAAGCTACCATTTACACCATATTAAAATCATCTCTCTTCAATATTATCTCATAAAAGTTCTCGTTACTGGAGAAAGTCAATGAAACATAAGCGTTCTCACGGGCTTCGCCCTCACCGCTTTGCGGTCTATCTAACTTATTTCTTATATCATCTATACGCTTCAAAATGTCTGAACAATTGCTAACATCTTCTACAACAGTTATTTCATCATGAATGACCTTCAAGAACAAGCTCATTTAATATGCAATTAAAATCATTTCAATAATGAGTCCATCCTTTCCATCTTTAGGTAGCACAACATCTTTCATTGAAGAAGGTTCGACAAGTCTTATGTTAAACTTACTGACAAAGTTTGTTATACTATAATGCTTCGGCGGCGAATACATATAGTTTGAAAGACATAATATAGATTCTTCAGCAAATTCACTTATACTGGATTTTATAACAATGTTCTCACGAGACCAAATGCCACCAATTGACAATCTTGTAAGCAATCCTGCTGAACCTTCAACTGTAAACGTCGATGGTAACATTCCACGAAGGTCATCTATTGACATCGTTGAGTCACTGTATTTAAATATTTTCTTAAAGCAATCGTCATTATCTAACCATGCAATAGCTTTGAAGTTTTCATTCGAATATACATCTGCTTCATTAAATGTAAAACCTGACTTCTTTGCAGAGACGACTTTAAAATCTATTGAGTTTGTTTCAAAATTATATGCTATGGTAACTTCTGAAGGTAATGGATGTCCTTCCGCAGTCAGTTGTTCTCTCACTACCGTTTGAAGCTTTGTTAAAAACTTTCATGTCATCTCCTGTATCTAAGTTCACATACACAGCAACAGGAAAACTATCTTGCTTCTTTGTTTCATCATTATACCTCAAAACATTAAAGTTCTTCAATAATATTGTTCTTCCTGCTGGAATACTTCGAACCTGTCTGATTTCAATAGCTTTCTCACCTCCTACATACTCTACCCAGTGTCTTGGATATTCATAAGTATACTGACTTTCTTGAATTTTGGTTGGTTTCATCATAACGTGTTCATAGTATATCTTTATACTCTTGTCAGTTAGACTCGGTGCTATGTTCTGAATATTTCTGACTTGCATTTTTAATGGAGATAAAATGAAGCATTTAATACATGACGTAGATGAAGACATGAATGAAACTACAGACAAACTTAACTCTTCTCTTATTCTTCCTTTCAGTAAGGACTATGAGTTCTGTTCAAATGGTGTTTATTTCTATTGTGGAAAGATGGGTTCAGGTAAGACATTTAACCTCATTCGTCATATACTCATAACAGAACGTTTAGGAAACGACTCTTACTATGACCAAATCATTATATCAGCAACTTCAGACTCTATGGACTCAACAGCGAAAACATTTATGTCAAAAGTTCAAGCCTCTGTCGTTAAAGTTCCAGACAGTGAACTCATTGAATTTCTTCAACGTTACATTCGACGTAAGAGGAAATATTATGCCATCGTGAGTTCATACAGTCAGGAATGCAAAAGACTTCTGAGGAGATGGAAAGAATTATTGACAAACACCACTTACGTCAATACTCAGGAGTTTACGATATGAAACGACTTACAAACTACATTCTGTCAAAACTTTCAAAATACCCCTTCAAAAAATATCCTTCAAACACTTGTTTGTGACGACTTCGCGGAAAAGGTTTAGTGTCAAAACCAGACTCACCATTAGCTAACATCATTACTAAAGTCAGACATTACCACTTAACTGTAGCAATACTTATGCAAACATGGCGTTTTCTTGCTTTAAACATAAAACGTCTCATAACTGACTTCGTTATCTTTCAAGGTTTCTCACGTTATGATATTGAACTCATTTGGAAACAGTCAGGTATAACATTACCTTTTGAAGAAATTTGGGAAGCATATAAGTCTCTCATCTCTCCTCGTTCATACCTTGAGATTCATATCATGACTAATACCATTAAAGTCAAAAATATTCCATGGGAACGACCAACATTGTTTTAAAGTTTAACCTTCAATTGACTGATGGTAAACAAATTCCATGCATCTCTGTCGCCATTTCTGTTAATATTTTTGCTGTCATTCATATCATCCACTTCCCCATCCGTTAGCTTTTGAGGATATGCGTTAGAATAGCTGTTCTTAAATGAAGGCTTTTCACCTTTGAGAGCATAAACTCTATAACTTTCTGCATACTTTATGTTTGAACCTCCTGAGCCATCATTGACATAAATTTTTATAGGCTTCCACCCTTTGTTCATGTTCCTGCTTCTTCCCTTAGCTCTTTTGTTCAGTAGTTCTACATCTTTATACACAGCTCCTGTCTCAGTGAATTCAACAATATTTTCATTCGTTAGCTTTACATTCAAACCCTTGTCGAGTATATTGTTCATTTCATACATATAAAAGGTTTTTATTCTATATGAAATGAGAAGCAAATCCATCTTAGCTGGTGCCGTTAATGTTCCAATTGAACCAACATCAAATGTTGACTCACGAACGACAAACAATATTGTCATAAAGAACTATAGTTCAGAGTGTTTGAAAGAAAAAGAACCAGAGCTGAAATCCGTGAATTTAAACTCAGCTTCAAACGCTAACGCTACATCAGACGTTAAGTTAGAGTATCCACCACTGGACCAAGTTCTTTCAAGAGAAGCCAACGACAATCCTTACACAAATGTTCAAACAAATCCTTCAGATAACGTAGACCATTACCTTCTTCAGTTATACCAAACAATTTTACTCAAAGACGATAAGAAGCTTTTGGTAAATCTTATAAGCAAGAACCAAATAATTCTAACAAAGGAGGACCTTGAAAATGTTATATCACGAATAACAGGGAAACAATGTGTCATTGACTATCTCGACCCTGAAATCGAATGCTGTGGTCAAACGCCACCATTCATGAAAATAGGTAACATCCGCATCATTGAAACACCAGGAACTACAGGAGTTGAGTTTAAGTATAAATATTCGAACGAGTATACAAAACTTTCAACAGAATATAAACTTTGCTTGAAATATGTTTTAGTAAATTAAAGCAATTTGTAATATCTATCCAAAACTTCTTCAACAGTATCGAACTCATCTTCATAATGCAAACCTAATCTTATTGACTTGGTGCAGTTTTCACTAACACAATATTTTTCTGTTCTCTTGACTGACATAACTAACTCATTTGTTTCATCAAACAGCAACAACCAAAGTTCATGACCTAATACATAACATTCATACTTTATATTTTTAGCTCTGAGTTCTCTTGTAAGCTGTTGCATTTAATATTTTCTAAAAAGTCAACTTCAACAGTCATTCGCACTGGTGCCTTCAGTTCTACAGGCTCTCCTTGAAAGTCAACAAGTCTGAATTGCATGTCTTTCAAATTATGAGGACTAATGCGAACCCATTTACCTAAATGAGTTGCTATGACAGGAACGTTTGGAATGAACATTGAATTGACTGCATAACAGAAAGACTTATATTCTACTGAACCTTTACTATTAACTCCTGAAATACCTGTGACATTAGCTATTTTTGACTCAATGTATAAACAATTACCATAACATACGTATGGAACAGATTTCATCTCAATCGTTTTGTCAACACTTTTCAAAGGAAATGTCATATGGTATGCACCCAGAAGCAATTGAACTCTATGACTCATTCGTGTTATCTTAAACTCCTTCGCATAACTGAACTTCAAAACTCCTGCAATAAGTTTAACATTCATTAAGTTTTCTTCGTTATCCTTGTTTATTGTAGTATTTATGAGAGCATTTAACACTCCAGCTAATGTTTCCATCTTATATTCTACATTATTGTGAAATCTTATTTTGTGCTTCTTTCCATCTATTTCAAACTCCATGAAATCTGTTTCGTCAGTTATGACAAAAGTTGCGATAGTATTGAAGTCAACAACTCTGAAAGCAAGTGCTTCATTCTGAAGACCTAAGTTTGTTTGTAGCTTTACTGTCCCGTATTCGTTTGGGTCTGTACTTTGCAAATAGAACAACATTTTATTCTCATTAAAATATGAGTATAGCTGCATATGCGTATGAAGCTGACAGAGCTAAACGTTTATATTTTGGTCAATACTCTCTCACACTTACTGACAAATATATTGTTATTTCTGATGGAAATACTGAGAAATATATAACATGGAAGGACTATGAAAAGTTTGACCCTATTTTAACTCCATGTACTATGCCTTTCATTGTAAATGGTGAAGTTGTCATGAAGAACGACACAACTGTTTATAGGTCTGTATATGAAGCTCTTGAAAGCATTCTTAACTTCAATCCTTCAGGGTTCGATACAAAAACAACTCCTTCGACAATGCCATTCATTGTAAATGGTGAAATTGTGTCAAAAAATAATGAAACAGTGTATAAGTCAGTGTATGCGGCGCTGAACTATATGCTTCATTTCAATCCTTCTGGTTTTGACCCACAAATAACTTCATGTACTATGTCATTCATTGTAAATGGTGAAATCGTCATGAAGAACGACACAACTGTCTCAAAGTCTGTTCGTGATATTTTAGACTACTTGCTTCATTTGGGTCCTACAGGATTTGACCCATATACAACTCAATGTCAAGTACCATTCATAAACGACTCAGCAGAAATAAAACTCAAAACGTCAACAGTAGATGAAGCAATTGCTGACTCATTGACAAAACTTCTTGATATAATAATGAGGTTCAATACATTCAAAACAACATATGAAACCTTTAAGAAAAATTATGACGATTTCTTTAAAATTACATACATCGAGCCTTCTGCTCCTCAAACACCAGACTATGCATGCCTTAAAATAAAGCTGGCAATGATGTTTTATCTCCATCTTATAACAATGCAGCAAAAAAGACTTTTCGACAAACTGAACCGGGAGGAAATCATGTCCATACTTTCACAACAAATCCAACAGGCTCGGGTGCAGATTATATGCCACCATTTGTGACTATATTCGCATGGTACCGTCTTGAATAAAATCTTTAACTTTACATAAATGAGCTTGAAAGAAGTATTCGAACAACATCCATGGAGGTCATTTAAGAAATTCAATGAAGCTGCAAAGAGTTGGGGATTTACTAACAGAGCTGAAGTGAAAAGGTTCTTTGACAAAAATGTTGTACATCAAACAAAAATAAACCCTTACGACTACTTTTTACCAATTTACTCCAACACTCCTGACGCATACCAATTTGACACTCTCGTTCAGAGTAAGAAAGGAGTACATAAACCATTCCTCATCTTCATTAATGTTAACACTCGTAAAGCATATGCATATCCAATGAAAAATAAAGGAACTCGTGAAGTGTTAAGAGTTTTACAAAAGTTTGTAGCAGAACATAGCCCAAGTACTTTAACATCAGACAAAGACAGTGCATACCTCAGCAATGAAATCACAGATTTTCTCATTAAGCATAACATAACTCACTACACTACTGAAGACCATAACCATAACATACTCGGCATCATAAACCGCTTCATAAGAACGCTCAGAGATTTAAACCAAGAGCGAGACTTTACCGAAGAAACAATGAAACATTTCACCGAAGTTTACAATTCCTCAACACATTCTACAACAGGGCATACACCAAATTCAATGACACAACAACAAGAAGAAAAGTATATACAAAAGAAACGAAGCCAAACGCAAAATATCAGAAATTCAACACAATTTACCCTCATTCCTGGTACAAAAGTTCGTGTAGTTCTTGACGACAAACCGTTGACAAAGAAACGTTTAAGGTTAAGTAGAAACTATTATATCGTAGACTCTACGCAAGGTAATGGATATCTTATAAAAGCTGCTGACGACTCTATTGCGTTTTACCATCGTCACAAATTAGTCGAAAGTAGTAATGGCAAACTTGCTGAAACCATTGACGAAGCAAAGCGAGGAGTGGTTATTGAAATACTTGGCTATAACATAAACGATGACACTTATAAAGTAAGATATGAAGGAGGCGTTGAAGATGTTATACCATCTAAGAACTTGAGAGAGTCAAAGTCAACACATCTGGGACCATTAGAGCGGGAGTACTGGAAAGACAAAAATAAGCCAGAAAGAATAAGAAAATTCTTCTAAATTTTTTCATTAGATGTAAATCAGACATGAATGAGAACAGTCATGATATCATTAATGGTACCATTTATTTTTGTCATAAATTTACACCAAAAATATATTTTAGGTGAAGAGGTGAGATCTCACCCGTTTTTCACCTCTTTTTTCACCCTCGCCGCTTAGCGGCTCAGATTGCTTTAGCTTTCTCGTGAATTTTCATGAATTTCCTTAAGATAGAAAAAATAAAGTTAGTTTTATTTTTATTTATTTTTTTATTTTGTATAAAAGATATGATTTCAACAATCGGCACAACAACAATTCAAGCCACGAACGGCGGGACTCTGTCCACAACTACAGCACCAAACTCGCTAGTCATGAATCCAACATCTATGTTAGTAGAAATGAAAAGCTTCATTCCTTCTTCATTTACTTTCGAAACAGAAATACAAAGAATAAAGCAGGAACTTTTAACAAGTAATTTAGACTGTAGTGCGAAAGATGAAACAAATGAACAGTATCTTTATGAAATGGAGGACCTCATCGACCATTTGCCTAAACTACCTGAAATTCAGCAGCAAAAACTAACTATTCCTGAATTCGACGAAATTGAAGTCAAAGCAACTGACTCAGTAGAAATTAAGAAATTCATACGTAAAGTAAATTATGAGTTTCTAGGATATCATTGCAACCATAAAGTTATGGACAAAGATTGCGACATGGTATATAAGAACATCTCTGACATATATAAATCTGGGGAGTTTAAGACATACGACAACTTTGTTTCATTAGCTGCAAAATGTGTATGGCAGATAAGAGATAAAGATAGAAGAGGTAAGGTATGGCATGAACAGATAAAACCAACTGCTTCAGATTTAAAGAAAACCATTGACGCCTTGGTTGTTCTAGCTGGTTTTATTTCAATGTATAACGCAAAAACGATGTCGCAATGTTCTAAATGTAAAGCAGCAATGAGGAAATATAACTATTCAGTAAAAGAGATAGAACGTATGCGAAACGACTATGCTGACTTAAAGAAAGAAGCAGAGAAGCCGGTAGAAAATAAAATGGACATGCTGTCATTTCTGAACAAAAATTATCCAACTGCTGACGATTTCCTTCTATCTGACGTCAAGAAGAAGTATAAAGAAACCTTCGGCATTGTTAAAACATTCGATGTACTAAAAGAAGAAATAGAAGCTACGAAATTGTTTAGGATTTCAAATATACATCGTACAATTCATGTAAAACGCTTGTGAAAAAAAGAGGTGAAAAATTAGGTGAGAAAACGGGTGAGATCTCACCTCTTCACCTAAACATTATTTTTGGTCAAAGCTTCCACGAGAGAAAAGATTCCTCATTCGCTAAGGATTCCAAAAATGAAAAAATCATTGATTTCGGCTGAGAAAAAACAGCAAAACCCTTCTTCCACGGGAACAAAGAAATAAAGAAGAAATAAAGGAAATTTTTTATTTATTCCCGTGGAAGATAGAGCACTTTTATGACACTTTTTATTCACGACAAACAAGACAAACAAAGAAAATAAGAAAATACGGCGCTGTCGCGGTTCGAACCACAGACACTGACCCCTCCATAACACCACCTTAGACCACTGTGCTACGTAGCCTGTCGACATAAGATTTTATAAATTGCATATTTGACGTAAATTTATTTCCATCTGGCTTCCCACCGCATAAGATATTCATACGTGTTTGTAAGACATTCATTAAACTTCTTTTCTATTGCATCTAATCTTGCGTTATTTTTTCAATAACTTGTCTGTATTCTTCCTCATCTCCAGCAGTGTTTGGGTCTTCACATTTAAAATATTCATCCAATTTTTTATCTACAAATTTTATTAGTGTTTGATTCACTTCGTTATGATAACGGTCATATTCTTTCAATACGTAAGTGAAGACAAAATGCGTCGTACCTTCAATCTTAAAGCTTAAAGAACTTTCAACACAGTTTTGAGGGTCTGTCAGTGCGTCAATGAGATAGTATTCGAAGTCAGTCAATAATCTTTTTAAAGTCATTTCATACAGGATAAAATTTAATGTTGTGAAGAAATAGTGTTTATCTCAGAAAAATAACGCTAATTTTATTTTTATTTATTTTTTTATTTTGTATGTAAAGACAGTAATGACAACATTAGAGAACACAACAACAGTTATAGTCCATGAAGCCATAAATGAAGAATACGAGAACATACAGTATAACAAACAGTTACGTCTCATTCGTTCAGTCAAAGATGACATGTACCAAATGCAAAGTATAATGAATGCTCTTCGTTCTACAAAGCAAGCATATCATTGGTTTGAAAACCAACAGACAAAAGAACTTTTAGAAGAATTTCCTCATATGATTGCTTCCCTCGGAAAACCGAGAGAAGAGATTCCGTACGAAAATCGCAAGAATTTGGCTCCTGGTTTGAAAGGTTATTATGTTCATAGACTTTTAGTAAACGCTGTAGCAATGTGGGCTTCACCTCGTTATGCTTGTTATATTTTCATGATGTTAGATGAACTATATAAAGCAGAATGTGGAGAGATGGAAAAGAAACTTCAAGCAAAAGATGAAGTCATTGAATCCAAAGACAAAACCATACAGAAAAGAATACCGCGTTCAGTACCAAAAGGAAAGGAAAAGAGTTATAAGTATATGATATATACTGAAGAGTTGGAGAAAGAAGAAGATAAAGATGTGGTTATGTTGCATTTAGTCAGAAGAAACAACAAGAGCTTTTATGACTTAGCTAAAATATATAAATCTGACAGAAACTGGTTCTATCGTGAAAACTTACCGATTTCAATGACACCGAATGAACAAATAAAGGAAATTGTCAAAAATACTCTTCCTCAAACACACTATGAGATCAAAGGTTGCACAATACTTACATTCAAAGAAGACTTAACATTACTGAAGGAAAAAATAACAGAATATTTCGATAACTTCAAAGAGGAAGAATAAAAAAAATCTAAGCTAATTTTATTTTTTTATAAAATTTTATCTCATATGAAAGAACATGAATTTAGAATATTCGGAACTCATGACAGAAGAAGAGAACGAACAACATGTAAAAGATTATGCAAAATTTCTGAAGACATACAAAGCATTTAAACAATATCTAAATGCTTCTAAAGATTATGCAAAATTTCTGAAGACATACAAAGCTTATGAAAAAGCGTATGAAAAGTTTATACATTGGGGAATTGTTGTAAAATATCCATATGAAGACTAACCAAAAATATATTTTTGCTCAAATAGCTTCAGGGTCTATTTCTTCAACCATTTCACTTCCTTCGTCAATGTCAATAGAAGCTTCTTCAACCTTTGGTAAGAATTTCTGTATAACATCTTTGTTCGTTATTGTCTTCAGAGATGAAGGATAATATTTCACATTTGTTTCACCCTTCTTATATTCTTTCTGTTCGGAAAGATTCATAGCAATACTGAAGAAGTCAATGTTAGAGTTCTTTATAACAGTATAGTGTGTATCTTTGACATTAACGAAGAAACTCTTTTGTTTCAAAACTACTGCTAACTCTTGTGAAGTATAACGTTTGCGGTCAATGACGATAGCTAATGGTCTGACATACTGACCAAACTTAGATTCTTTCACAAACTTCTTGTTAAAGATAACATTAACATTTGAAGCATTATTGAACTCATTCTTGATGGCAGTAGCGAGAGCATTGTATGAAAAGAACTTGCAATCTTGCATGTGTTTCATTAAAATAAAAATATTAAATTATTTTGAAAAATAACTTTAAAAAATCTAATCTAATTTTTTCAAAAAATATTTTTTTTATTTCCTACTAAAGATGTATCGGAAGTTGTCTAAGTTAGAACACTCGGAAATAAAACAACTTCTAACAGAAGCTAACATAGAAGTAGCAAAACATTACGCAACAAACAAAAAAGCACTCGCTGACTTCATTAAAGACTTCAATGGTGCAATAAGTTATGATAGAATTCATGAGTTCATAAAGCCGCAACGCGGCGAGGACGAAGTCCACGCAAGAGCATTTCCTTTAAATGACGTTGCTATTGACTTATATCATAGACGTTCAGTACCTCATGAAGTAAGAAGAGAAATGTTTGACATAACAAATGCAAACGTTGGTGAAACAAGAAGAAGAGACGACACACTGAAACAACAGAGAAGAGAGATGTTTAAGAGCGCTATAGAACAAGTTCGCAAAGCTAACGATGTCCTTCGTTCCATTGACGACAAACCAAAAGAAGGTGAGAGATGGTTAAAGAAAGATGAAGAGAATAGGAAGAGAAATGTGAAGTCAGGCAATAGACTCATTGACTTTAACATCGAAGCTTTAGATGAACCATACAGAGACTACTTACACAAACATTTCGGTAAGGTTTTCATGAGACTCTTAGAGAAAATTAAAATAAACTCACAACAGAGATGGATGGTATGTTATAAACTTGGTGGAAAGTATGAATGTTCTACGTTAAACCTCAATAATATTGGAACATTACTACATCAGCTCTTGAAGGAGAACTTTATATCAGAGATAGAAGCAAATGCTGCAGGTATTGTTGAAATGCACTATGATTTCTTCTTGACAAACATAAAGAATCTTACTGAAATAAAGATGTATGATTTAATAGAATATGAAGGCTTAACGATGTCAGATGTAAAGAAAGGCAAACCAAAAAAGAGACCATATAGAGATGAAAGCACACTGACAAATGACCAGAAAGCCATTTTGGAAGCTCTTAAGCAAACAGGAAACCCAGCACTTATAGAAAGCTTTTGGAAAGATAATGGTGAAAAGAAGTTTTATAAGAAGAGAAGCGGTCAGTTCTGGAAGTATCTTTGCACATTACCTATAAATCTTGAGCGCTACCAAATCTTCAATGAACTGAACAAAAGAACTGCAACACTTATGACAGAAGACAATTGTTTCGTTTATGCTTGCATTCAGGCTGGAGTAGATGAAGAAACTATTGACCACATGAGAGAAGTCATTCGTGTTAGAGACTTTCCTCAAAGTAAAGTACAAGAAATTTCTGACGCAACAGGTATAGCATTTAATGTTACTATTGGTTACTTCAATGACTCAAGACATAATGAAATAAAGAGATACATACCAAAAGAATGTGAAACTGTTCGAACTATTGACTTACTTCTTGTTGAAGACCACTACATGCTAAATGAAAGATTACCAATGACAACATATTTCATTCGCAACTATATAGAAATCTTGAAGGAGTGTGGTGGAATGAACATTGAGAAACAGATGAAGATTTATACAAAGAGAGAGAACAAATATGTAGTTCGTTATGATAGAACAACACCGTTATGGGATGTTATGAAAACATTGTGGGGGTGCAAATATTTTGAACCTATTTCTTATGGAGAACTTTTCACATATACGACTGACTTATATAAACAGAACCTTGCACCATTTAAAGATTTGACATATGCTCCAAAGTATTGTGTACAACTGAAGAAGAAAGCCGAGTCAAAAGAAGTAAATAAAGCTAAATGTAAGTTCATTCCTGAGCACGTTTTCTTTGCTGACTTTGAGTGCAGTACCGATGGCTTTCATAAAGCTTTTAACATATGTTATGACAGTGAAGATGGTTCAGTGAGTGAAAGCATTTGGGGTCAGAACTGTACAACAGAATTTTTGGAGCGACTTCCTGACAAGAGTTTAATATATTTCCATAACCTCAGTTATGATATAAACTTCATCTTAAGACACATGACAGAAGTGAAAGGAACTCCCATCATTAAAGGTTCACGAACAATGCAAATAACTGGCTTATATAAAGGAAGGGCAATTATTATAAAAGACTCTTACAGTGTTATAAATAAGAAGCTTAAACTATTTCCTGCTATGTTTAACTTACAAACAGGACCGAAAGAAGTATTTCCATACAACTACTACAGCAGTGTTTTGTTAGCAAATGACAACAGAACTGGTGTCATTTCTGAAGCGTGTAAGTTTATCCGGGATGCAGATACATTCATGAAAAACATAGATTCCATCAAAGGTTGCAGAATAGATGAGAACCACTTCGACTTAGAAAAGTATAGCACATTTTATTGCAAACAAGATGTAAGAATTTTAAGAGAAGGTTTTGTTAAGTTCCGCAATGACATATTGAAAGAATTTGATTTAAACGTTTATGACTACGTTAGCATTTGTTCAATCGCTAACAAATTGTTTGAGAACAGAGTGTACTTCCCGAATGGAAATTTATATGACCTCTCAAATAAACCAAGAGAATTTATTTCACGCTGTATTCAAGGTGGAAGATGTATGCTGTCAGATAACATGAAACAAAAGAGTAAAGAGAAACTCATTGCTGACTTCGACGCTGTTTCATTATATCCATCAGCTATAGCAAGACTTTATACTTTAGAAGGAATTCCAAAAGTATTGAAGGATGAGATGTTAAGCACAGAGTATCTCATGAGACATTTATTCGATGACGACCAAAAGGAACCCATTGGTGAAAAGTTTATGTCTGGCTTCTTTGTTCTCATTAAGATAACAGAGATTGGAATACATAGACACTTTCCTTTAATAGTTTGTGACCCTGAACTAAATCCAGAACTTAACGTTCCAGAAGTTCAAACACTTGCTGTTTAATGTATGTTGACCATATAATATTACAAGACCTCATAAAATATCAAGGTGTCAAATGTGAAGTGTTGCAAGGATACTATTACGATGGAAACAGAGATATTAGAATAAGAGATGAAGTAAAGAAGTTGTTTGAGTTAAGGTTAAAGTATAAGAAAGAAGGAAATCCTTTGCAAGAAAATATAAAGCTCATTCTGAACAGTATTTATGGCAAAACTATTCTATCTCCTATTGAGTCAAAATAACCATAGTAAATGACAAAGATGCTATAAGATATGCCATCAGAAACTACAACCATATAGTGAAGTTCGAAGGTTTGGATGGTTCAGATAAAACTATTTTCAAGCTAACAAAAAGCATTTGCAGACACTTTAACTTCTGTCCACTTGGTGTTAATATTCTGTCAATGTCGAAGAGAATAATGTGTGAAGTATTCTGTACTGCTGAAGATATGGGTCTTCAAATATTTTACCAGGACTGCGATAGCATGCATATTTTCAATGAAGACATCCCACTGTTAGCTCAGGAATTTCAGAAGAGATACGGTAGAGAACTTATTGGTAAAACATTAGGTCAGTTCCATTCTGACTTCGCAGAAATAACACCTGGAAAACAAAGTTTAGCATACAAGTCAATATTTTGTGGAAAGAAGACTTACATAGACTTACTCACGAATGATTTAAATGAAGTTGCATTTCATGCACGTTGTAAAGGTGTAAAACAAGACGTTCTTGCTTTAACAGCTAATGAAATGTTTCCTGAAGCTATACAATGCTATTACAATGAAGATAAGAACATTCACATACCTGTTGGAACATATGACAAAGACTCTGAGTTCAGTTTAATGAAACTTTACAAAGCACTTCATGATGGTCAAGAGATTGGATTTGACTTATGTAAGTCATGTCAACCTTGCTTTGCTGAAAAGTTTAACTTCTCAATAACGACTAAAACAAGCTTTATTCGTAAGTTGAAGTTCTGAGGTCATTTATTTTTGTCAGCAATGAGGTCATTCGTGATAAAAATAAGCCGCTAGCGGCAAGGGCGAAGCCCATGTGGTCATCTACAATACTGCGATGGTAGAGTTTAAGAGTTGTGCTTCAATGTAGAGACAGTCCTTATGGTCTGGAGGTAAGAACACTGGGCAGTTATGGTCATGAGTGGAGAACATGTCTATCCAAAACTCACGATTGAAGCCAGTTAATTTATAGTATTTAGGGTTAGGAAGTGGTGAAGTTCTTGTATGACCAATGAACTCATTTTCAACTCCCTTACTTAAGTTTGAATATAATATAGCTTGCTTTCTATCCCAAATGCCAGGTGTTACAATCTTTGAAAATTCATTTTTCCTCGGAAGCATTGCATCATAATTGAAAACATTCTTGAAATCATCACTTGGTTCAGAGATTTGAAATCTTATACGTAATGGATTTTCTTTCTCTTTAGCGACTTCATTGAATGGTGAGAATACAACAAACTGACAGTCATGTGTTCCATCTTCATTTTCATTAAATTCATAATGAAAGTCTATAAGTTGTGGCTGACTACCTTCTTCTTTCAGTTGTGCAAGAAACTCACGTAAAGGCTGTAAAGTGTGTACTTCAATGTTGAACTTTTTCTCGAACATTTCATTAAATGAAATCATACATTGCAACAATGTTGTATCGTCTTTAAAGTATTTGTATATGTGAATGTTTTGGGCGCTTAAAAACTGTTCGTCATTTTCTATCTCGACTTGAAGTATAAAGTCAACCTTTCTGAAAGCACGTGTTATATACATAGATGTTATGCCAATGTACTTCTCTTCATTTATGTTCACAATCCAGTCTGTTGGAAACTTAAACGTTACTCTGTTCCCCTTTATTTTGACGTCAGGGTTTTCACTACTGAACGCAACAGATAAAGGTATTTGTCTATACATTTAATTCGGATAAAAATAAACCATTTACTCTTTCTTTCCTTCAGCTTCTTTAGCTTTTGCTTCAGCTTCTTCTCTAGCTTTCTTCGCCAGCAAACGTGGGTTCTTTTGTCTTCCAGCAGCTAATGCAGCAAGTTGTTTTTCACTAAGTTTTCTCTTTGGTCTCTCTGGCTTTTGTTCTTGTTTTTGTTCCTTCAGTTCGGATAAAATTTGCTCACGAATTTCTTTCTTCAATGCTTCAACATCTATGACCCTTGGGTCTTGTCCGTAGGACTTGTCTGAGTCATTTGACTGCAGATAAAAAACAAAATTAAAACTTTAACCGATGTAAAATGAGCTTGTCAAAATCAGAACGAGAGTCTATTATATTAAATGACGCAAGAGGAATACAACATCCTTTCTATTACGTAAGTCAGAGTAAAGATGGTAAAATATACGTAAGAAAAAGAAAGGTTCCATTAGCGAATGCAGAAAGCGACAACATTAAGGTGTATGGCAAGGGTGAAGTCCACGAAGCCCATATAAAACCTTCTGTTCAAACTGAAAAGTCAATAGAACCAGAAGAAAAGAAGCCAGATGTACTTTCAATAACGAACCAAGAGCTTATTGCAAAGTTCGTGAATTTCATTGAAAAACAAACCGAGTCAAAGAATCCTGACCCGCCAGTGAAAGAAGTTGAGACAAAAGAGAATGTACAGTTCATTGAAAATGTCAAGAAACAACTTCCACCACGAATGCCAAGAAGAAGAGTGAGAATAATGAAGTAAAGAGATATTTTTATCTGAAGTAAATACATGCAGAACGAACAGCTAAACGAATTTACTCCAGCAGAGCATATTCATCAGATTCGCTCATATTTCGATATCATAGACAATGCAGTTCAAATTGGTGACACTAATAGAAAATATTCTGACGCAAAGATTCCATCACAACCTGGAACTGCTAAAGATAACACATGGGTAACATTCAATCTCTCACCTCCTGGTGAAAATATGTTGGACCTTTACAATACATTCATTACGTATAAAATGGAAGGTCAATTTATTGTAGATAAAGAAATTGGTTCAGGTTCCAATAAAACAAACCCACCAGGATTTTGGATTGGTTTCGATGACGCTTTCTATGAAGTTGCTGGATATCAAATCCTTGCAAATGGTCGTATCGTATATTCTCAAGACAACGCAAGAGAAGAAGCATACATAACTTCAAAACTCACAAACTACCGAACAAATAAAGAAAGTAGATGTTTTCTCAAAGACTCGACATGAAGATGTATGGAGTCATTCGGGAACATGCAGAAACAGGACAAATTGTTAGTGGTCCAATTACAGCAGGAAAATCATTTGATTTTAAGCTTCGTTTAAGAATTCCTGTTAGAAGATTCCTTCCATTAGAAGCTATTCGATTTATTCCAGCTTTTGCAGGAAACATTCAGCTTAAAGTAAAGTTCAGTAGCGACGCCTTAAATGCACATCTATATCTGTAAATGATATCATTGCTTTCAATCCAACTCTTAAAGTTGCATTTGCTTCAGATTCAAATCCACCGACAAATAAATTTGTTCCATGGAATGAACCATTCACTATGATAACGAAGGCAGTAGAAGCTAGTGGAACAGTTACTATTACAACTGTAACCCACAACTATTTCGAACAAAGATGGATTTTAATGAATGTTTCATTCATCCAAAGTCATTCTCTTTAGACCCTAACATTTATACAGAACTTGTAGAACATTATACAAACGAGGCTTTATGTTTTCCTGTTAAAGTTATGGATTGGATTCCTATGGACGGTTCATTCTCAAAGAATACAGAGAGTTCAAGTGCAACATTTACAGCAGCTTATACGCCTATTAATGTTAAAAGTATTTGGGCACTATTTAGAAAGAAAGACAAGTATTATGTTAATTTTGAGAACCCTAAGTTTAAATATCTTCAGCTTTCCATGGGAGCTTATGGAAATATGCCTGCAGAACCCGAAAAATCATATGGACCTGTATTTTATGAAATGGTTGCGAACGCCTGCAATACAAACAATGATATGATAGGATTTAATGAAGATGTTATGAGGTCATTGGTGGATGATGGTAGTGTGGAACATAAATGGGATAGCTATGACAACACACATTTCTTATGTGGTTTTCCAACAGAAGTGGACTTTTGCTTCCAGCAAGGTCAAACATCTACTGCTCCAATAACATACAAATTGTCTGTTAAAGGACCTATTGAACTAGCAACTGAAAATGTACCAAAGCCACTTATTGGATTTATGAGGGATTGTTGCTTTGCCATTCAGGTGCGTGCTAATGGCATCCCCATAATAAGATTAGATGACTATAACTTAGCTACGGACGACGGTGAGGAATAAAGGATGAACGTTTATTTTAAAGCTTATAAATGAGTTCTTCATCAAGCTCTCGTGAACCTTCACCATCTATGAAACAAACTTTACCAAACGATTATGGAGCACCTATTGAATATTTCTTACGAGCTGCACAATGGCAAAGAGCAGTCTCACCAAGGTTAGGTGTTCCACCAGCTCCTGTCAAAAATAGCATTTGGTCAAGTCCTTATATAAGATATGGTCTCCCACTAGGTTTGCTAGCTACAGCAGGAGCAGTTATGATGTTGAAAAGAAATAAAGCAAATGTTGTAAATAATACTGAAGTAGCTGAAGTTAAACAAACTCCAACACCTTCGCCAAAACCAACGCCTTCACAAGCAAAACCTTCAATGACTCCTGAACCTATGGAAGTACAAACTCCTGTTCAAAAGTCAACTCCTAAACCGACTCCAACATTTAAACCAGAACCTACTCCTCAAATAAATCGTAAAACTCCTGCGTTTCCTTACTGAAAAAATAACGTTATTTTTATTTAATATTAAAATTTTTATTTGATTGAAATGACAAATAAAGTCACTGAAGCAATGAAACAAAAGTTTTTGGTAGAATACATTAAATCAGGAACTATTCCAGAAGGTTTTTACATTCATACTATGAAGGATGGTAGAGTTCAGTTTAGAAAGATAAAGCAACCATTAGATAGAGAAGGAATTTTGAGAAAGATTAAACTTCATGAGGACAACATTGCTGAACTTAAGAAGAAGTTAGAAGAGTTGGAGAAAGGAAGAGAGTTATAAAGCAATGAATTCAACAGGGTGAAAAAACAGGTGAGATCTCACCACTTCACCTAAATTTATTTTTGTGCTATGTTTTCATACGTATGAGGGTGGTGATATCATTAATTTTTAAGTTTATTTTTTTATTTTATTTTTATATAAATGACAGAACAAAAGCAACTCATACAAATCGAAAAAAAAAACATACATTTAAACATTTATTCTTCCTTCCTGAGTATAACATGTTCTTTACACTTCATCCTAGACCAGTAGATTATACATTGACTGTGTATAAAGATTGTCATGGTAGTTTTATAAAAACTTATGATGATGAAGGTAAGTTAACAAGACTATGCATTTCAAAACTTGAGAAACTTTATGACTTCAAGTATGACTACAATAGAGTTAACATTGACGATGAAGATATAGAAGAAAATTTATGAGAACGTTTATTTTTTTCATTAGTGAGTTCGTTAGCGAAGTCGTTAGTGAGGTGAAGTGGTTGGCGGCTTTGTAAATATTTAAGGTTAAGTTAGTGTTGTCGTTTGTGTTGTAAAATATACATTAACGGTTTTGTAAAGTGTCAAATTCACAGATCATGGGTAAGTATGTGCGCAGTGCCGCCGTACACGACTAACCCATACTAACTACCATTGCTGGGTCTGAGCTGTTGTTGTGCACTACTAAGAGGAGATGTACCATTGCTGGGTCTGAGCTGTTGTTGTGCACTATTAAGAGAAGATGTACCATTGCTGGGTCTGAGCTGTTGTTGTGCACTACTAAGAGGAGATGTACCATTGCTGGGTCTGAGCTGTTGTTGTGCACTATTAAGAGAAGATGTACCATTGCTGGGTCTGAGCTGTTGTTGTGCACTACTAAGAGAGATGTACCATTGCTGGGTCTGAGCTGTTGTTGTGCACTACTAAGAGGAGATGTACCATTGCTGGGTCTGAGCTGTTGTTGTGCACTACTAAGAGGAGATGTACCATTGCTGGGTCTGAGCTGTTGTTGTGCACTACTAAGAGGAGATGTACCATTGCTGGGTCTGAGCTGTTGTTGTGCACTACTAAGAGGAGATGTACCATTGCTGGGTCTGAGCTGTTGTTGTGCACTATTAAGAGAAGATGTACCATTGCTGGGTCTGAGCTGTTGTTGTGCACTATTAAGAGAAGATGTACCATTGCTGGGTCTGAGCTGTTGTTGTGCACTATTAAGAGAAGATGTACCATTGCTGGGTCTGAGCTGTTGTTGTGCACTACTAAGAGGAGATGTACCATTGCTGGGTCTGAGCTGTTGTTGTGCGCTATTAAGAGGAGTAGAACCATTACTCTGTGTAATTTCTTGTTCTTCCAAGTATCGATTCAACAAGATCTCATCTTTTGTTGGTAAGACTTCAATGCAATTGTAGAATTTTCCATTATGGAATATGTATAAACTTGTAAATTCTCTGGACGAGTGCTTGTAAAACTCTTCGATAGTAATAAGACGAAAGCACAGAAGGCTTTTGTAGTAAGTTAACTTGTTAATGCAATTACGTGATGTACCATCGCTGAGTGGAACATTAGTCAATAGCAACGATAGCTTTTGATGTTGGTGTAACCTGGTTAGAGATTGCTCTAGCCAGTGAAAGTCTATTTGGGTATAAATATCCAAGAGAATGAATTTTGAATAAATAATAAATTGTGAACAATTGAATAAAATATAGAAAATATAAATAATTTTGAAAGATATTATTGAAAAAATATTTTTCACAAAAGTTGAATTCAAATTGTAAATTTTTAAAAAATCTTTAAAGTGAAGAAAATAAAATTGGACAATGAGAAAACAACAATGAACTAAAAATTAGTGAATAACTACAATGGCGAAATTAAAATTACGATCAGAATAATTTTTATAAAAGAATGTGTTAGAAATTAGTAACGGGAACAGGACAAATTTGCCACACGGCACTTTTTTAAAAAAAATTAATGGAGCGGAGCGATACTCTGCTGCAGGAGCCCCAAGGCTCCCAATCATTACGAAAGGGAGCCTCAGGGCTCCTGAGAAACCTCTTTGAGAAGGTTTTCTTAAAGAAAACCTTCTCAAAGATGATTGTCAGCATTCACTCAAAATCTACCAAGAGTTTCAAAGTTTCAAATCTATCTGAAATGAAGCTTTGAATCTCTTGTATATCTAATTGTAGAGGTACCTTTTCAAAATGTCTTCTATTGATTAAATTTAATCAGTAAAAGTCATTTTGAAAAGGTACATCTCTATAATTGCTATTGAGCATTCACTCTTGGAACCTTGGAGCTCTTGTGTAGTGCATGAAAACTCCAAGATTCTAGCATAAAACATATATCATAGACATAATTTCTTCAAATATAATTTAAGGTTATTTTTTTAAAAAAATAGAAAAGCGTAATTTAAGGTTATTGAAAAAGTGACACCTGGCAAATTTGTCCCGCACTCATTAGTAACGATTAAGATAAAATAAAAATTTGGGGAACGAGAAAAATGATTGAATATTGGTAAACATGAATTTTTATTGAAAAATAAAATGAGATTAAGATTCTAAGCAGAAATTTTTAAAAATTAGAAAAATAAAAAACAATAAAGATAATAAAAAAATTTGAAACTAAAAAAATCGAAAAATAATGATAAAATAAATGAATAGTTGAAGACAAATAAAAATAAAATGTTATCAATAAGAAATAATTTGAATAAGTTTAATATAGATTGATCAATTTATGAATGGGAATCCAAAATTAGAACAGCCGAATTGGTATATTGATAACAAATGATATTATGTTATTAATAAGGTATAAATGTTTTGAATCTAATTCAAATTAATTTTGAATATGAAATTGAATAAGATTGAAAAATTATATATAGAATTTTGAATGAGTTTCCGTTGAAATGAATGTTATGGAAATGTAGAAAATATTAGCCTTTGGATGAATTGGAGGGTGAGAGATATTATTTCATACAATACTACTCTCACCCTCCAATTCCCAGCCAAAATGGCTAAAAATTGCCCGCAAATGTTCACATTGCGGGCAATTTTTAGCCATTTTGGCTTGGAACTAGAGCCTGCGAGGTACATGGATAGTATCAGTACCTCACAGGCTCTAGTTCTCTATAGGGCGCCGAGAAATTTTGGTGAAATGTGGTCGCATTTCACCAAAAATTTTTCGGCGCCATAGGATGAATTGGAGGGTGAGAGATATTATTTCATACAATACTACTCTCACCCTCAATTTTAATTACTTAAACTCATTCTATTTTTTTGACATATAAATGTCACTTTTACTAAGATCTGACACAATTTCAGATCTCTTTTTTTCGTATATAAGAATATTACTATGATAATACTATTTTTACTAAAAAATGAGTAGGAAGGTTAAATATGCAAAAGATTCTTTTTTATTTTGAATTTAATGAGATTGTAAGTATATAGTTAAAATGAGAATTAGAAGAGTATAAATATATGTGAGATTTATGAGAATTGGAGAAATTGAAGATTTGATATAATTCAAGTTTTGAGGAATTAATGGGTTTATTGGTCCTATGAGGTACATTGATAGAATCAGTACCTCACAGACCCTAGTTCTCTATATGGCGCCGAAAATTTTTGGTGAAATGTCGTCGCATTTCACCAAAAAATTTTCGGGGCCCTAAGTTTAATTTCTTAACAAAATATTTTATTATTAACTTTATAAATTCTAATTCCTTTTATTTTCGAAATATTTATTTTCCAAAAATTGACATTCCAAAACGTAAAGTGTGTCACTTTTTAATGTCAAATGTCAGGAACTTTTTTGATACACGACAGTTATCTTAATGGTTTGAAGCGTATCATGTTGGGTGATTCTTGGCCAAATGCAAGCTTCCAGTTTCACATCAAATCATGTAAGATCTGACAAAATATTACCATTATGCCAAAAAAGCAAAAAATACAATTTGAATATGGAACATGAGAACTACGAAAAGTTCAACAAACAAGATGTTTCGTACCGAAATGGCTAACAAAAAAGTGACAGAAAACCTTAAATTGTGCGGCAATTTTAATTAAAAAAATAAACATGAATTTTTGTGATTGATATTATGCATTTTATTTATATTATATAAGATTTAAATTTAGGGGAAAAATTGGAAAAAAAAATAAGATTGGAAGTCTTTAGGTAAGAAGGAAAGGGCAAGAGATATATAGTGTACCTATATACCTCTTGCCCTTTCATTCTAAGTAGAAATGTGAGAAACTTTGTCCGCATCATAAGTTATGCGGACAAAGTTTCTCCCATTTCTAATGGGAATTGTAGGCTATGAGGCACTGATATATAATCAGTACCTCATAGCCTACAATTCCCTTTATTAGACTTCAAACTTTGAGTTAATGTCTTGACATTAACTCAAAGTTTGGAAAACTTCACGTAAGAATCAATCGTCAAAAACCTCGATTGCAGTTATATTCATTGTGTTAAATTTGATTTATTTTGAAATTTTTATAAATTAAATTTTATATAACATAAAGCGTTATGAATTAGTATTTCCATATGAATTTTATCTCGAAAATAGTAATTCTGTACAGTTATATTTCGGTTAAATAAATATATCTAAATAGAAAGAATCAGAAAAATCAAATTATTGGCGCCAAAAATGTCACCTTTTTGGTGAGCCATTTCGGTATGAGATAGTTCAACAAACAAGAGCTAGCTATTCTTGAAGCAGCAAGACTTCAAGCAGAGCAAAACAACAATTACAATTTGAACTTGGAACAAGAGAACCACCAAGAAGAACTAGCTCTTCTTCCACCTTTGCCTCCTTCTTCCCCACCTTTTCTTCTTACAAATACGGAGGAAAGGAGATCATTGTTCCTTTCCTCCAGTGAAAAGGAAGAGGGACACCATCCATCGCGCAGTGGAGGCACAACGGGGATGGTACTCCCTTTGCTGCTCACAAGTCTCCTCAGGATGCAAGAAGAAGACCAAGGAGACCAATATCAAAGAGGGAAAAGAGTAATGGTGCTCAGAAGTACAGCATTTCCATCAAAATCAGCAGGTCAATCATCAAAATTAACCAATCGATTAGTTGAAACTTCAATTCGTAAAAAGTATCCAAATTATCAAGATTAAAACAATTAATTAATCCTTTTCAGTATAAAGACTACACTGGGGGTTATCATGCCTCAAGTATTATTGAAAGTTACAATTCGAAAATAAAATCAAGTATTTGCAAAGAGCTATTTCAATTTCAAATGAAGATTTAAAATGATGCCCACATAAAAATTCATGATTTATTGTCTGACGTCATAGACATGAACAAGATAATCAGTGAAGAGGAAACAAAAATTCAAAATTCTTACTTGTGCAATGGTATCATTTAGACAATAAACTCAGCAGAAGTTCAATTTTTTATGATAAGTTAACAAGATATACATGCACGGAGTTAACTCGTTTATTTTCATTGATTTTATAACAAGATTGGATTGCAGGCGTTTCATCAGGAATACTCCAGTGCTACGCGCGGAGTCCTCCTAATGAAAGCCCTGTTTTCCCAAATCAAAAAGCTAACTTTTATCATTAGTGGGAGAGATTGAAAAGATCTTTCGAATCCTGGTCCTACTTGTATACACTGATAATACTGAATATCTTGTATCTATATGCATTTATAAATCATGTCTGGCATCTCTCTATATATAAAAAGTCAGCGTGAGGAGAATTAATATCCCCAAACTTGGACTCTTTTTCACTTGCATGTGCAAATCGCAATTTAATTTAGCGCAACCTTGCGAGAACTTTTACGCCGCTTATAGGAAATCGGGAAGAAAAGTTAAAAGACACAACTTTTACCATCCAATATTTAATTTCAAAAAAAGATAGAATTGTTAAAGGAAATAAGGATCCAGTATTCAAAAATACAAAATTTGAAATCAGTTCCCGAAACAATGTTCGATGCAAGATTCGGCAAACAACGAAAATCCAAATCAGGGGGAGAACAGAGATAAGGAACTAGTTAAAAAAATTATGACATTTTCATGCTGAATTTTTCCAATCATGACTATTATTTCCAAAACACAGTAGAACAACATCCACATCACAATATATTAACCATTCGGTAATTTCCCAAATTCAATATGCCACCCGCATAGGGAAATAACAAATCTGAATGCAATAATGTATTTTTTTAGTCATTTTTAATTTTTTGAAAAATTTTTGGTAGTTTTCTATAACTAAAAATTCATTGGATTACGACATTGTAAATGTGCAGATGCATTTTATTATACAGATTCTTTAGATTACAAAAATGCCGCCAAAAATAGGAAAAAATACACCCTTCATGAAAT